AAAATCATCAGGTTTGTATGGAATCACAATAGAACCCTAAGTAACAAAAACAATCCTAAGAAAAAAGAACAAGGCTGAAGTATCACACTGTCAGACTTCAGTTTGTACTACAAAGTGACAATAATCAAAACAGCATGGTATTGGCAGAGAAACAGACAAACAGACCAATGGAATAGAATTGAGAACCCAGAAACAAACCCACAAATAGATAGTGTAGGCAGATAATTTTCAACAAAGGAGCCAAAAACATACAATGGACAAAAGAAAGCCTCTTCAATAAATGGTGCTGGAAAAATTGGAAAGCCAATTGCAAACAATTGAAACTAGACTGCTATCTGTCATTATACACCCAAATTAACTCAAAATGGATCAAAGACTCGAATATAAGAACTGAAAGAATAAATTGCATGGAAGAAAACATAGTTATTAAACTTATGGACTTTGGCCTTAGAGAGGATTTTATGAATTTGAAATCAAAGGTAAGGGAAGTAAAAGCTAAAATAAATGAATGGGACTATATCAAACTAAAAAGCTTCTGCACAGCAAAAGAAACCAACAACAAAACAAAGAGGCAACTAACAAAATGGGAGAATATATTTGCAAACAACACCTCCAGTAAGGGGATAATGTCAAATATATATAAAGAACTCCTATAACTCAACCTCAAAATACAAACAATCCAAATAAAAAATGGGCAGAGGACCTGAACAGACAATAAAAACAAACAGCCAACAGATATATGAAAAAATGCTTAACTTCACTGGCTATTAGAGAAATGCAAATCAAAACCACAATGAGCTACAACCTCACACCTGTTAGAATGGCTATCATCAACAAGATAAGTAATAACAAGTGTTGGAGGGCTATGGAGAAAAAGGAACCCTCATACACTGGTGGTTGGAATGTATAATAAATTGATACCGCTGCTATTAAAAACAGCATGGAGGTTCCTCAAAAAATTAAGAAAAGAGGGCCCGCTGAGTGGTGCGATGGTTAAGAACCGGCTTGGGACGCCAGAGGGCCCCGGTTCGGATCCCACATATGAGGGCCAGTGACACTGCCTTCCGCAGCTAAGATGCTGAACAACAGCTCAACTTGGAGCTGGGCTGCCGTGAGTTGCCGGCGATGGCATAGGCAGCAACCCCTGTGGCAGTGGGTTGCCATGGGCTACTGCATGTAGCCAGCAGCCAGCGTGAGCGGCCAGCAGCCGCAGTGAGCGGCCGTCCAGAAGCCAGCGACTGATCTGCCTCGCCTGGGAAGAGCGCAATCAATGATGGTGCCAAATTGGGCCAGTGAAGCAACGTCCTCCACAAGTAGACTGAAGAACAAAAATGACAGTGACTTGTCTGTTCCCCTTCCCCCAATTCCCCAATAAAAAAAAAAATCTTTAAAAAAAAAAAAAAATAAATAAATAAATAAAACGCCAAAAAAAAGAGTAAATGAAAATATCAAAAATGCATTCACCCTCTAATTTTCTGCCCTTTTTGATATTATAGGGAAATTAGATAGAACTTAATTAACTTTTGGTTTGCTCATTTTTTAAATTAACTTTTTCAAGCAAAAGTCAGGGTGCGTGGCATCTGAAAATTCTAGTGATAGCAGGTTCTGCCTGGCATGTGTCTTATGGTGCCTGTGATAATATGTTCCACTACAGTGAATCAAAGGGATCCCCTTTTTATAGATACAAGATGTATAAATTCATGGGCAGATGATAAAGACATAGCCCATCGGGTTGGATTCGTGTTCAGGAAACACTGGAGGCAAAGCCCTGAGAAGTCCTGGGAGGAAGGGTCCAGCCTCCATGGCTGCCAGCCCAGCAGGGCCTTTACCAGAACCCTGATTCCATGCTGGAGGGACAGCAGAGGCTTGGGGACCGAGTGGCCACTTCACAGTCCTCTGGGAGAAGACTGCCACCAAGCCAGCAAGCACATGCTTTCTCTTACACTCACACACACGCACACGTGCACACACACACACACACACACACAATTTAGACAAATACTTCATGTTGAAAAGGTGTCATGTTGCTCATTGATTTGAGACTCAGTCTACCTTTGAAGCAGCCAGATCATGACAAGATTCTAAAATCATCTTTGAGGATGTTGGTGTTAAAGGAACACAAAGTGTTGGCTTCTTTCTGTCCTTCACCTGGGAAATCAGGAGCATTCTAAGCTGACATGGAAACACTGGTTCTCTCTGCTCCGAAGGGCCTGCATGCGCTTTGGTTTCTCAAAGGGCGTCTCCCATCTCATGCCTCAGCATACACACAGGAGACAGAAACCCAGAAGCAACTCAAATGGCAGCAAAGACTCCTTTTTTTTTTTTTTTTTTTTTATTATTTTAGCTGAGCCATCCTGCCACCTGTTGGCAGCTCAGCGGCAGCTCAGCTTGGACTGGAACCGCTGTTGCTCAGAGCTCAAACCTTTGAGCGAGCTCTTAACCAACTGAGCCACTCAGCTGGCTCAAACGGCAGCAAAGAAATCATGCTGCCTACATGAGCTGGAGGTGCTGTTATTTAATTACGTTGTCAATTTAGGGGATTGATTAACTGATATTAAGTAGGGAAAGCATGCAGATTCAAGATTTCATATTTGCTGAATTTCTAAATGAGATACTGTCCCATCTGCAATGTTTTAAAATTCTAGTTGTTAACCCCAATATCAGTTATTGATCTAAGTGTTACAAAGGCTTATCTCTCTTTCCAAGGGCCAAACACTCAAATACCTCCAAGTGAGTGAGCAGGCTGGCTGAGCCAATGGCCCCGGCGAACAGGAGGCATTGAGAGCGCTGTCTGTCTTGGGCTTTGCTCCTACCCAGCCAGCTACCGCAGTGCACAAGTGTCAGCACAGGGGTGCCAGCAATGACGTTCCCTGAGAAGCTGGATTCTGATATGCAGTCTGAACATTTATTTGTTGGCAACTAATTCCATTTGTTTTGGTTTTAAAACATAGTGCAAACCAAACAAAACACATTTGCTGGCTTCCAGTAGCAATCAGTGGCCCAAAAAGGGAAAATTTCAAGGAATTAGATAAATGGAGCAGAGTTTTTTTTATTGCTGTGCAACAAATAAACTGCCAAATTTAGCAGTTTAAAACATGAATATATGATCTCAGTTTCCATAAGTCAGGAGTCTGGCACGTTCTAGCTGGGTCCCCTGCTCAGGGACTTACAGGGCTGAAACCAAGGTGTCACCTGGGTGACTCAACTGGAGAAATACTGCTTCTAAGCAGCCCCCTGCTGTGGGCCAAACCCATTTCCTTGGGCCTGTATGACTAAGGCTTCTGTGTTCTGGCTGCAGCTGCATTCAGATTTGGCCACATGGCCCCCCACAGTCCCCTGCATTCTCCTCTTCCAGGAAAGGCCCCAGCCCTGGGTAAGGCTCACCTAATTAGATCAGTTCTGCCCAGGAGAATCTTCCTTTTGATTAACTCAACATCGATTTACTTGGGACCCTAATTACAGTCTACAAAATTGCTTCATCTTTGCCATATAACCATAACCTAATCACAGTCACAAACCTGTTGTACTCCAGCAGATAACACAGGACATGTACACCAGAGGGTACAAACTTTGCTGGCCACCTTAGAATTCTGTCTACCAAAACTGGGTAACAATCCATTCACCAAAGTTTATCCATATATTTGGTTTACAAAGATTCATCTGGATATTCAACCCATATATCTGGCTTAAGTGTTTATAGACACAAGTTCAATCTCAAGATTTGTATCACTGAAAATGAACTGAGGGAAATAGTGCCCAAAGGCACAGAGCTCTCCCTCTCTCTCTCCTTCCCTCCAGCTGGCATTCCCCAAAGAGGCCTCCAGGCCAGCACCTCCCTGCCCAATCCATGTATTCACAATCCACTCTGAGATGTGAGCAACGTTTCCGAGTACCTCAAGATAAGTTGTTCTCTCTCCTTATTAAAGCCACCTGACTTGGGCCGGCCGAGTGGCGCATTGGTTAAGAGCTGGCTTGGGACGCCAGAGGNTTAAAAAAAAAAAAAGCTCTTGTCAATTACCTGAGTCTAAAATATGGACTCTGACGTTTGAAAGGGTTTTAGTAATTGAGCTCAGTGGTGCATAATGAGCTTAAAAGGGCCTACCTGCGTGTCCCCAGAGATGCTGGCTCGAGGCAGACATCAGCTTACAGCACACGATTAACAGGCAGGCCAGCAACAGCCAGTGTGACAGCAACACCGAGTTAGCACAGACTCTCATCCTGGAGAGAAAGCAGAACAGCAGGAAGCAAGTGGTGAGCGAGGCCCCTAGGCAAATGCCACCCAGGGCAGGTGGGAGAGCTCAGCACTGGTCTTCATTTCCCACAAGGAAACAGAAGGTCAATCATACTTTACATGCACTGTGCATTAGCTCCGTTTTCAATAAACACCTTTCATAATTAAAAGAGTTTTCCAAGTTAACAACACGCCTCGGTGAGAAGTCCATTTATGAATCCCCAGGGCGAAGCCTGAGTTGTCCAGATAGAATATGGGGGTTGTATACTATTTTATATCATGAAATTCAAAAGCTACACACTGAGAGCTGGATTCAAACAAAATATACAGGTTTCTACATCTGCAAGAAACAACAAAAATTTTCAAACCCAGCCGAAGAGCTTTTTCTGGATTTTTTTTACTATATATTAAGGCCTAGAAGACTGGCCTCATAGCTCAAAGCTTGGTGGGAATACAGGCTAGTACAGGTGAATATAACATAAACTTAACTGCATATGGACATCACGGATGAATGGATAAAGAAGATGTAGCATATATATAATATATGTATATATGAGGTCTGACAATCAAGTTCAAGAATTTGTTGCAATGATGTTGCTTTTTTGGATATGAAGAGGGATTATTCATTATGAATTTGTACCAACCAGCCAAAGAGTTAACCAAGTCTCCTTCTCCTATTTGGTAGTGCTGAAAAGGCTACGTGAAAAAGTTTGATGACCTGAGTCCGGCCGAGTGGCGCGTTGGTTAAAAGTTGGCTTGGGACACCAGCTCTGAGCAGCAGGGCCCCAGTTCAGATCCCACATGCGGGCCAGTGATGCTGCGCCCTCTACATCTAAGATGGTGAACAACAGCTCCTCCTGGAGCTGGGCTACTGTGAGTTGCCGACAATGGCATAGGCTGCAGTGGGGCTGGCCAGCAACTGGCGTGCACTTTCGTGAGCTGCCGGGAGCCGCAATGAGTGGCCGTCCAATGGCCGGTGGGTGACTGCCTCATCAGGGAAGAGTGCAATGATAATACCAACATGGGCCAGTAAAGCAACGTCCCCCACAACTAGACTGAAGAACAAAAAGGACAGCAACTTGTCTGTTCCCCTTCCCCAATTCCCCAATAAAATCTTTAAAAAAAAACAAAAACGTTAGACGACCTGAACTTTTCACCAACAATTCATGGCTCTTGCATCACGACAATGCACCAGCTCACATAACACTGTCTATGAGGGAGTTTTTAGGCAGTAAACAAGTAACTGTATCGGAACACCCTCCCTACTCACCTGATCTTGCCCCCAGTGACTTCTTTCTTTATCTGAAGATAAAGAAAATATTGCAAGGAAGACATTTTGATGACATTCAGGACATCAAGGGTAATACAATGACAGCTGTGATGGCCATTCCAGAAAAAGAGTTCCAAAATTGTTCTGAAGGGTGGATGAGGCTCTGGTGTCGGTGCAAAGCTTCCCAAGGGGAGTACTTCAAAGGTGACTGCAGTGATATTCAGCAATGAGGTATGTAGCACTTTTTTTAGGATGAGTTCGCGAACTTAATTGTCCAACCTCACACAAGTATATGTGTACACACACACACATATTATTCAGCCATGAGAAAGAAGGGAGTCCTGCCATTTGCAACAATCTGGATGGATCGTGAGGGCATTATACTAAATGAAATAAGTCGGACAGAGAAACACAAATACTCTATGATATATCACTTACATGTGGAATCTAAAAAAAGAGAAACCCATAGAAACAGAGAGCAGAGTGGTGGTTACCAGGGGTTGGAGGGTAGGGGCAATAGGGAGGTACAATAGTTAAAATTCCAGTTATAAAATGAAGAAATTCAGAGATCTAATATACAGCAAGATAGTACAGCTAATGCTACTGTGTCATATACTTGAATGTTGCTAAGAAACGGTAACTATGTGATGGGGATGGAGGTGGTAGTTCACGCCATGGTGATGCCATTTTGCAATTTATAGACCAAATAAACATGTTGTAGCACCTTAAACATACACAGTGTTATGTGTCAATTACATCTAATGAAGCTGGAAAAGTAAATAAACTTAGCTTCATATGGATGGACAGTATTAAAACAGTTGTTCAAGGACAATTCAGTTCACAAATGTGGTTGTGCCATCTATTCTAAAACAAACGCAAAAGGGCCGGC